AAATCATCGCCGTTGTGCTTCTGTGCCCTATGCGTACCTAGAGGAGTGTTTAAACGGATTTTAGCTTTCCCATCTAGATGTTCTTTTATGCGGACACAAAGTGGTCTACCCGTTTCCCCGATATATTCCTCGCCGCATGCATTACATGAGATCAAGTATATTATACCTAAACTCATGCAATCCCCGTCCCTCCCGTTAGGACAGATCATACAGTTTTCTGAGCTGCACAAACGATCATAGAGACGGTTTCGAACTAACTGGCGGCGTAGGGTATTGGGTGGGATGTCAACAATCGTTACATAATTTTCAAGACCACTTTTTCTTAAGCACTTTTTAATGGCGTGACTCACTTCATTTGATATGAAGGGCAGCTTAAAGGGGATCCTACTTTCGCCTGAAATATTATTTTGGAAAACTACCCAATGTTTTCCTCTAACCCGAGTGGCTTCTACTTCGTAGCCATTGGAAATGGCAATTTTTCGTGCCAGGTTTCGCGATTCCTTCCTTTCGTCGTATCCTGTACACACATTTTTAGCCTACGATACATATTTTTGATAAGTGCTTTTTTCATGTGTGAAGGATGAGAGGAGAGGCAGTGAACTAGAATGTCTTTACTACTTGGCTTACGATACCATTTTGTTATATAGCCACCTACTGAGAGCTTTATTTGGATGTTTAAGAATGGAAGCCAGTTCTCGGTAGGTTTTCCCATGTAAATTTTATATACTCTGACTGTCGGTTTAATAATTCAAAGCACTCATCCATCTGTTCCTGTGTAGAACAGACGATGAAGCAGTCGTCTATGTATCGACAGTAGAGTAAGGGTCGGTGATCGAGAACTGGAGCTTCCACCTTAGACATGAAAGCGTTGGCAAGGCTTGGTACCAAACGCAGCCCCATCGCCAACCTTCTAGTTTGTGCAAAATATTTTCCAGACCACCTAAAGGTTGAACAACTAAGACACTGTTTTAAGAGGGTCATTAGTTGCGCAATCGACAAGCCGTGTATTTTTATTTTCTTTTCATGCTCTACGAGCAACTCGAGAATGGCTTGCATTGCGGAGTCATTGGACACGTTGGTATAAAGTGAACTAACATCGAATGACTCCATTATATGCGTGCTGTTTGGTTGCGCGCGCCTTAGGTGATCTAGAAATATTTTGGTGTTAGGTACATGGGTTGGAATGAATTTTAGCAGCTGGGTTAGGATAAGGTTTAGGAACCACGTTATTCTATCCGTTGGCCCGCCCATCCGTTTCTTAAAACAAGAGCTACCAAATAGCGATATTGACTCTACATTTCGTTTATTTTCGGACGAAATTCTCTGCATACTTAATCACTACCAAAAACGAAAAAGAAGCTCCAACCTCACAAACCAACCCTCACAACGAACACCCGATTTGCCCTGTCCTTTACTTGCTTATTAAAACACATAAGCTTACTTCAACTGACGATAGTACGTCAACGAACCTATCATCACATAAAGTTAGACCTATCATCAGTTCTATAGGCGGGCCAACGGATAGAATAACGTGGTTCCTAAACCTTATCCTAACCCAGCTGCTAAAATTCATTCCAACCCATGTACCTAACACCAAAATATTTCTAGATCACCTAAGGCGCGCGCAACCAAACAGCACGCATATAATGGAGTCATTCGATGTTAGTTCACTTTATACCAACGTGTCCAATGACTCCGCAATGCAAGCCATTCTCGAGTTGCTCGTAGAGCATGAAAAGAAAATAAAAATACACGGCTTGTCGATTGCGCAACTAATGACCCTCTTAAAACAGTGTCTTAGTTGTTCAACCTTTAGGTGGTCTGGAAAATATTTTGCACAAACTAGAAGGTTGGCGATGGGGCTGCGTTTGGTACCAAGCCTTGCCATCGCTTTCATGTCTAAGGTGGAAGCTCCAGTTCTCGATCACCGACCCTTACTCTACTGTCGATACATAGACGACTGCTTCATCGTCTGTTCTACACAGGAACAGATGGATGAGTGCTTTGAATTATTAAACCGACAGTCAGAGTATATAAAATTTACATGGAAAAACCTACCGAGAACTGGCTTTCATTCTTAAACATCCAAACAAAGCTCTCAGTAGGTGGCTATATAACAAAATGGTATCGCAAGCCAAGTAGTAAAGACATTCTAGTTCACTGCCTCTCCTCTCATCCTTCACACATGAAAAAGCACTTATCAAAAATATGTATCGTAGGCTAAAAATGTGTGTACAGGATAAGACGAAAGGAAGGAATCGCGAAACCTGGCACGAAAAATTGCCATATCCAATGGCTAACAAGAACAAGAACAAGAAAACGACGCATTCATATTCCTACGCCGAGGTTAATAGAAAGTCAATCCTGGGAACTACGTATTCGATGACCTCTGTGATGCTATTAGTGGAGCTGGATGCATGAAGCGTCCATCATGGCCGAGCTGTATGTCGTATATATTATGTCTCAAATAAGCCTGCATTATATCATAGATATGATGTTGTAAGGGGTTACATTTATTTTTATATAACTCACGCTTTGTTCTAGTACCAAGGCAAAATTAGACCTCAGTCTCTTAACTACACTACTATTGAAGACATTTGGTTTCTTGTGTAATGTTTCAGATTGAAATGGTTTTTCTTTCCTTTTTTGCTGTCTTGAATTCGAAACACTAATTCCCAGGGCCGACTTCCTGTTAACTTCAACATTGATCGAACAATTCATATGGAGGTTATGGAGGTGCTTGGCTGGGAAGATTGCGGTCAATTTGACCTTTCCAGACTCCGAGGAAGACGAAATTCGTCGAAACGTCAGCGTCATGGCAATGAAGAGTGAAATAACACCTCGTGTTTGCTCAACAGAAATATAAAGCATTATTGAAAGATTAAATTATTCTCTACTATTCAGGCATTTTAATCTATGCAAATCATCGTGAAGGCGTCAAGGATTTCTTTTGATATTTCATGGCTCCATTGAAAAATTCCTCTTAGCATTATCTAGGAATCGTTGATAGAATAATCTCCGTAAGAAACGTGAAAACGAGAGGGAATATATGTATCCTGCTCTCAGCGATACACTTCATATTGTTTCTGAGGTCAGCATGTCATCGCATGGGGACACCTCTACTCCACTTCAACCAAGCAATCCACCCAGTGCATTCTCTTCGAAGAAGTACACCACACATTCATGAATGGGCATTTTATCCACGCTTTAGTAAGCGCTACTAGTATCTCCACATAAGCTTCCTGTAGAAGTCGTACATTGTAAAACAAATGAAATTGAGTTGAACGTTCATAATATCGGCAATAAAATGTGTAATAGGAGTTGAGAATGTATTCTTTTCCCAAGGATGTAGTTTGCCTACTGATAAATATCACTTTGTAGACGCATAGGCCTTATGAATACTACAAATACTTACTTACATGGATACTTGGATGGCCCTACCTCACTGGTTGCACAAGCTCCATAGTAGTTTCCATTTTTTTGGCGTTTTGCTGGTTTACCCATTGTTGTCTGGGCTCCTGAAGTCAGCCTTGCCCAAAGGCTGCCACAGGTAGCTACCACCCACCACAGATAGTCGTTACTTCTGTGGATCAGAAGGAGATTTGCCACGATGCAATTAGTTTGACACCAGAACGGTGGTGGATCTTGGTGTTGATTTATCCTTAGCTAAGCTTCCTGATGGAAACTCCAGACTCCTCAGCCTGGGAGGCCCTATAGGTGCAGGAGAGGGGATGAATCCCATCGCTATACATCGCAGTCCGACACCCAGGAGTACCACCCAACCACGACGACGCTGTAAACGTTGGGATGAAATACTACAAATACGTCTATAAAAGTCTTCTCGGTGATATTCATCTTTTCATGACTATAAAATATCCCTAACCTCTACACCTTACTGTGTGAGTGATAACAGATCAGCCGTGGAATTCAAGCGGAAGGACCAAGTAGACGAAAAATATAGCATAGCATACTATTACAGCGCAATTAGAATACCTACCAATGAGCCATCCCCAGCATAAAAGCAGTGCTCGATCGATTTATATCGATTGACTACAAAAAGCGTGAAAAAAGCCTCGTGCAGCAAAGTAGGCCAGAAAAAGCATGCGCATTGAAATCAAGATGCACGGTCTGCAACGTATAGTAGCACACATATTGGAATCAATGCGCATGGTCATGAAAGGATGAAATTAATGAACAACAGCTCATTACTGACATTACTCCTAGCACTTTCACACCGTTGGTTCACTTATTTCCTTTGATGTATTGCAGGAACACCTCATGAACTTCTCCATTCAACTGCAGTCGCAAGTCTTCGGAAGCAATAACATTGCCGAGAATGTTGAGAGATTAGTCGACAATAACAAGTTCCCTTCTCCTTAGAAAACCCATTTTGACCCCGTTGATGGGCATTTATTGCACGTTTGCACGTGTGAACTCCATAGCCAGAAATCTTGTGATGGTACGAAACCGATGAGAATATTCTGGAGCAGAAACTTGTCTCGGACTACGGTACAGCCCTGTAAAATATCTCGGTCTTCAATATTTTTGCATAAACAGATGAGAACATCGAAAAAGTCAACCATTTAATACAGATAAAAACACGTATTTTTTTAATGTTTCCACGACGAATCTGAACTGTGGTTTCCTGATTCTTTTGTCAATGTTTGCTTTAGTACAGTCAGCAAAGGGCCCACCACATTGCCTCGCTGCGCTCCACGGAGAATAGTCGACCTAATCAGCACCAGATTTCCCTTTACAATTTTCTTGAGTTCTGTTGGAATGAATTTTCCAGTCTGCCATCCATTTTTTTAGGATTGGGTTTCAATCTGTATGGTCTAATATGAGTACTGTTTGTTAAAGAATTTGTCGATGTAGTACGGAACCAAATTTTGACCATTTCATGTCCTTTCGCCTTTCCCTTTTCCTCTTCTTTCCTTCTCTTTCTCTTCTCTTTCACGTTTTCGTAATTTGTCAGTGGTTGTTATTCTTTCCAGTAAGCCATGCCATCCGCTGCAAAGACAAAAAGTGGAAGGATATTCCGTGCCCCTACAGATCAGGTAATGATGCAGTCATGTGGGTGTTTATCTCATATTTGCTGACAGCTCAGTTGTTTTTTCCCAGGCCAGAAAACTTGAACGAAGGCGTGAAAATAAGAAGAATAAACGAGATCGGCAACAAATTCGCCAAACTATTGCAAAATGCTATGACGTTGATGAATCGACGAGTAAAATGCTCGCCATCGAGAGACAAAGTAGGTTTTCCTTTCGTTTTGTTTGGGCTCGCTTCTATTACTGCATGCTTGTTATAACTACCTACTATTATAATTTACTATTACTACCTTGGGGCACGTGTAGCACAACGGTCGGAGGCGCCTTGCAGTACACGTGGGATCGATCTCCGCGCCGCAAGCTCACCAAGCTCGCCATCCCTTCGAGGTCGACAAACTAGTACCCAACTTGTCTGGGACGATAGCATCGCTGGCTCGATACATCGGTAGGCCGCCGTGAGTCATTGTAAAGGCCAAATATGCATTCAATCACCTCCACGATTTTTAAAATGAAGCCGAATGCATGGTTCATCCCTCAAGGATCGATCAACGTCGATATCTTTATCCCTTTATCCTTTACCTTGCTTATGTACTAACTACAATTACTGTTTACTATTACTACCTTATTTATTCATTTTCTCAGATTTGCGTCATTCTGTGCCTAATAGTTAGACATGTATTCTAGTTGTTGGACTCGACAAACCCCAGTTCCATATCGATGTTCTCAAGAAAAAGCAAAGAGTAAGCGTATTCGTGTTTTCATGCCTGCATATGATCGCTTTTGAAAATTTTCCTTTCTTCTAGTTTGGTTTAACTTAATCTGCGAAGTGCTTCTTATAAGCTTCGTATTCTAGACCATTATGGAAATGGTTAATAAGCGACGTGCCGTTTTACAAACGTTGAAAGATGAAAAAGAACTCAAGGAGTTAAATGAGAAACTACAGCACTACTATTCAGATTGTAAGAAATTACAAGCTCTCGCCGGTATGTCTGATCTCTCCATTCAACCGATTGTAGACGAATTCATGAGAATCGTGAAGGTTCTTTACCTATTTGGATGAGGTTTAAATAGCAGTTGCTGTTTAGAACAAGAACGCCTAGCTCGAAATGCAGACATCAACTTTATTCCACTACCTGAAGGAGATCTCGCCGAAGGTGAACTTCGGAAAGTGCAGATAATGGGACCGCAACCAATTGTTCCTCCTAAGTTGGTTTGACCCTGGTTATTACAATATTAGAGGAATGTGAAGGGTTATATGATAAATTCACGTTTGTTATAGTGTTAGGTTGGAGTCGCCAATGCGACACACGCGTGCAATTGATCCCAGCACCCATGGCCCGTCAAGCCCTCCATCCCTCTGGGGTCGGCAAATTGGCACCAGACTTGTCTGGGAAGATAGCAGCACTGGCTCGATACATCGGTAGGCCACCGTGAGTCATTGTAAAGCCCAGATATGCATTCACTCACCTCCAACGATACTTAATGAAGTCGAATGCATGGCGCATCCTTCAGGGATTGATCAACGTCGAGGGTTTTATCCTTTATCCTTTTATAGTTAGTTGTTTTTTAATGTTCGTTCAGATTTGTTCTGAATCTTTGTGTAGATCAGTTAGATGCTTTCTAGAAAGAAAGTCGAGTTTAAACTTCCACGTGGTGGTCCAAGGAGACAAGGAATTCGTCCACCTGGTCCCCCTTGTGGCCTGCCACCGGAGCTCAGTGATAGTGAGGGAGAAGGTGATGGTGAACACGATCCTTACCATGTGCCCTTGCCGGCCGAAGATGATTTGGCTCCAGTGATAAGTAGGTCTATTCATCGCTTCGAATCTTCATTCATGTTCACACTTATTAGTCGTATGGTATTGTACTTAGATATAGACAATGTATTTCAAAGAACAACATTGCCAGGAAGTTAGCATTCAATAAAGTAGAGACATATTGATTTTTGGGATATCTTTGTTTCCATCGCTTTCTGAAACGGAACATTACGACAAAGCAAGTAGTCATAATTGGATAATGGTCGGGCATAGTAGTGCTTTCATTGTACTCCATTTTCCAGCTTTTTCTTACAAAACCCGTTTCACAACGATGTTTCAGTTCCTGATTTCGATGCGCCGAAGTTTACGAAGTATCCACCTGTTATGCCTTTGCGACAACGTAAGCTAATATGAAATTGTTTTTATTCTATTTTTATCCCTATCTAAATTAAAATAACATCGAAGTTTCAGCTCCTGGTCCACCTCCTGGGCCTGTTCCACCGAGGTTTAATCCAATGGGTATTCCAATGCCTCCAATGCCTGTTCCATCAAATGATGGTGGGTTTCTTAAAAATTTTTTCCTAAGACTTTCCTTTTTAATGGTCATTTACACTAAATCGTTGAACTGCAGTGGCCAGTAAGAGGGAGTGCTCTATAAGATTCATAGTATTTGGTTTTATAGAGGAAGGCGAAACGAAGAACCCGCGTGGTGAGGTAGTGAACGCGTTAGCCCCCGGAAGGGGTAACAGCGCGTTCGTTCTCCACCGCAGACACCTGCGGTCCGGAGTTTTGTAAATATCAAAGCATCGTTGTAGTTGTGACGTAGATAGTACCGCGCCGTCAAAAATTGTAGTAGGCCGTAAATAAAAAAGGTAACAATTAACAGTATTTAGTTATGTCATGCAGATGCATTGGCGCTGGAGTTAAGTCATGTCGTCCATACGCTTGCAGAAGTCTCATACTTTACATTTGATTAGTTGTGCTCAGAATTCTATGTGTCCAAGTTTTATTAATTCATATAACTGACAGAGTTGCACAGAATGATTAGCATGAATTAGTTTAAACGCATACCTGGCTGCTAGTAACTGCATGTCTCTACTTTAGACAAATATGTCCAAGCTCATGGTGAACTACATTTTAAAATAAAGACCATCAAGACCTACAAGTCTTTGTCAACAATACAAGTTTCCCTATTACACCACGTTAAAGTTCCTATCCTTCCAATGGTTTACTGCCTAATCGTGGGTGGAAGGTGTTTTTGGGTGTTGGGCTGCGATGTAATGCGGAGGGATTCATCTCACCGGCAGGGTCTCCCAAGCTGGGAAGGAGTCCGGCATTTACATCAGGAAGCCCAGCTAAAAGTAAACCAATACCAAGATCCACCACCGTACTTATCAAACCAGTCACATGGTGACAAATCTCCCTCTGATCCGCAAGGGCGGCGACTGCCTCTGGTGGTGACGACCTGGGGCAGACTGGCCAGGCTGACCTCAGAACTTCAGCGAAACACAATGGCCAAACCAGCTAAATCCCAAAAGATGGAGAATATCCTGAGCCCCTCACAACCAGTGAGGACGGTCCTTCCGAGTATCCAAGTAAGTAAAGTTCTGATATGCTTATGTCCACGGATAGTATTTTTCCCGCTTTTACGTCAAAGCTCTTATCTCAAGCGGCTAAATGGTAGAACAAGCTGGATTTGTTCCAGTCGGATGTTATAGATTCCTGTTGCTGCTTCGCTTGTGTTAAAATTATCAATTTAAGCCGTGATTTTCAAAAACTTGAAGTTTAAACGAGAATGGAATTAAGGCAACTGTTTTGAAAAACTGTGTAAATACTTTGACAAATAGAGCAGGGTTTTCTTTATCAGCCTGCCATATGTTTAGCCTATCAGGTACTTTAACTGTCAAAAAATCAGCGGTCACCATCGCAGCGCCATTGTGTATTTGTGAAAATTTCTAGTAAATGCCAAATCTTATATAATATTGTTCCTGCGCGGCACATATAATCGTTTGTATTATTTTACTTACTTACTTGATACTTGAACGGCCCGTCATCACTAGTTGTGCGGGCCCCAGCATAGTCACTATTTTTCGGAGATTTGTTGGTTAAGCCATTATGGTTCCCTGGAGTCCCGAGGTCAGCCTGGCCAAAGTCTGCACCTGGTCGTCACCACGACAGGCAGTCGCAGCCCTTGTGGATCAGAGGGAGATTTACCACCATGCGACTTTGATACCAGGACGGTGGTGAATCCCAGTATTGGTATTGGTTTACTCTTAGCTAGGCTTCCTGATGGAAACGCCGGACTCCTTCTCAGCTTGGGAGAACCTGCCGGGGGAAGAATCCCCCCGCTGTACATCGCAGTCCGACACCCAGGAACGTCTCTCAGCCACGATGAGGCGGTAAACCGTTGGGAGGTTGTATTATTGTATTGTATCATTATATTACATTACTATAATAGTTATTGTATTATTGTTAATTGTTGTATAACTATTATATAATAATTGTTGTTTTATTGTATACTTAGATTATTAGATAACATCTTAATCAGATGGCACGTGGCTGAAACAATTTCTTGGTCTATTTCGTTGTTATGATAGTCATCTACATAGGTGCTTAAGTTCCTGTTTTGGTTTGGCTACAACTTAAAAATCTTCTCCCTGTCGCGTTTAATGCTAGTTGAACATTGGTTTTCGTAGAATCCTTAGATTACTACGCTTAGGAGTTTCCATACTTTCAACGAAGAAAGTTATTGTCCCATCTTCATCGGAGAAGGTTTCCTCCTTTGCAGCTAGAATGCTTTTGATATCAAAACTATTACTAGTGTTGAAATTGTATGAGAATGGAAGAGGTATACTCACCGAAGAAAGAATGACGTGAAGATTTGTGGCTCTAACTGTTTTCTAAAACGGGAGGCGATTTAACCAGAAATCCCATTTTTAGGAGGTGCCGTGATCTCCTCGGCGCCGGTGATTCGTAAGGATCGAGAGCAGGCACAAATTGGTCCACAAGCTCCAACAGTTGTCTCAGCTGCTCCGCAGCTTCGAAATCTGCGAAAAGAAACGGTCAAAGTACGGAGCTTTTCTGTAGTAATTTTTCTTATCGAAAGTATAAAGAAAGTTTATTTCCACTTTTTGATTGTCTTTGCATTAAAAATCCTTTCGGCAATGCATTGCTTTTCCCCGTGACATTTGTCACCATTGCTCATAATGATGAAGTGGTTAAGTTACTTGCTTTTAATTCAGTTGGTGCCAGTAGTGCTTAAACGAAAGCCGGCCGGAATTCGGCCAAAGCCAGCAATTCGCAGGCCTCAGACCGAAGCGACACAACAAGCAAAAACAACAGACGAAGCATACAACGAATTTATGAGGGAAATGGCTGATCTCATTTGAAATTGTTGCTAATTTTATCATTAATACTGCTAATTGTGTATGCATGGTTTACATAAAGTAAAACTTGAATAAATTGCTGCTGAGTTTTCTGGAATATAGATGGGAATCGAGAATTTATAGTATGTAGCTGTTACTCTACTTGTTAGATTCTTCGGTCCTGTTAATGAAAAGCTCTAAATAGTAGTGGTAATTAAGCGTTCTGTGTGTTTGGTTTTACGGATTTTATCCCATACTCTGTTTCCTGGTCAAAGTCCATTAGTCTTCGTTTTCTCTTGTGCCAGGCGTGGTCGTTGGGAAACTACTCTCTGTACTTGATAATTTATAGTAGAGATTTTTCTGTACGAGTTCGTTCATCCGAGGTAGAGATTGTTGGTGTTGAGGTGCCAATATAATCCGACAAAGAGGCGAAGACTACACAAGTCCGTCGTTGTAAAGGATAAGTGGGAATAGATGATGTAGGAATATCGAGGTATACTCTGCATGTGTTGAACCGACTGCTAACAGCATTGTGGTTGGACGGTTGTCGAGAAATTTTTCACACGGAAAAGTAGGATTTGCCAACAATGAAAATACAGACAAGAAAACGTAGGGCTATGTATAACACAAAAAGTCACCAAATGAGCGAAAAAGAATATGGAAGAACTGGATGACAAGGACCATGTGCATTGGCATCAATGCACTGCGACAAAGTAAGCTTGGTGCTGTACTGCGCGGCACATAGAATTCCACAGAGTTGTGAGTGGGTCGTTGATCAATAGAAATTCGGACAAGGGGATCCGTCCGTATTACGACATTCCTGTCGCTTCTTCCGAATAGGAGGAAAAGTTTGGCAGTGCTCAATCCCTGAGGGGTGCGCACTGTGCTCGACTGGGATGTACAATAACCTATAACCTGCGGTGTTGCACTTGTGTATCAACTCAGTGCTGTTAAGCCTACCAGGCAATTCGCTTGTTCGCCTACGCCTCACTAAGTCACTCATAGGAGCTAACAATCTACTAAGTTTGTTGTGGGTTTCTCTAGCGGCGAACAACTTACACACGCACTTGTGCAAGTTGTCCGGGCTAAAATTTCTA